AAGTTCAAACGCTTCCAAGTTCGCTAGAACTCCATAATAATCGCCTCATCAACTCGCCAGCAGACTTCGAACACTTCTACGGAACGACCAACATCTCCGCTTGTAATCTCTCAACTGCAGACGACATCACCTACCACTGGCAGCTTCTCTTTGAAGGCAGCAAACTGAGCACTTTGCGAACGAAAAATTGTTACGTGACTGTTCAGTGCACAAAGGATGTGGGTTATTCATTAGGTTTTTTGATAATCGTCATAGGTCATTGTGAAGCGCTATCGAGTGCCTCTGACAATGCCGCTCAGTAAATGCCATTTGTCATCTTCACCGTCTCATGATTATTCACAAGTATTTTCACATTTTCAAAGGGCGGCTTGTCTGTGAGAATTCATCGCAGATAGAAATTGCTGTGCACTCGATAATATATTTGCAACTAGAAAGACTGGCAGACATGTGTGTGATTAAAGAAAGATGGACAACATAATTGACTTATGTTTTGACCCAAGCGCCCACCCACGCAAAATTTGGTAGGAATTAACTTTCTATGATCTAAAGTAAAGAAGAAAGAGGAGCCTTTTATCATTTCCTCTTGTCTAGTGCCCTAAATAAAAGGCTCTGACCGACTGTATGGGCAGCAATTATGCATCTATCGTCCAAAAAACGATTACTTGCTATTTAATTTACGTATTTTCTTCCAACGAAGCAATTGTAACAGCTAAGAGGATTGCATGTAGAAAGTCATGCATAGAGTCGTCTCGCCTTGTCTAAATGTTTTCTTGGGATTATTTTAGGTTATCTCCCATTTTGTAACACTCAAGCCATTCTTTACACAGCCACGAGTTATTACCTAAACTTCTCACTACTATCTATATAATATTGGTATTGTTAAGCTTAATGTTTCAACAAAGCTATAAATGCTAAGTGCAATTTTTATACAATTGAAGTCTTAACAGGGTATGTGAAGAATATGTTGCGATCAAACTCAGTACCAAAAGGATCCAAATGTTTTAGTTTGGGAGAGTTTCAAAAATTATATATCCCTAACCTTCCTTTCGTTGCGAGACAAGAAACGATGATCCTGCGAGGAAATGATCCATTAAGAGTACCTCAATAAAGGATTAAATGATAGTGGACAGATTTTCTGACTCCTTCTGTTTCATAATAAAAATTCAAGTGTGGAACTTATAATCATAATAACCTAAACAAATGTATGCCGTTATTCATATTGAAAATGAAGGCACGAATTCGACTGCAGTGTTCTGGTTTACGACATCTTAATCTCCGAAAATATCTTTAAAAAAATTTTTTATTCCTTTAGAGTTAGCCTGTTTACTTCTTGATGCGCTATTTTCGCTACATAGTCATGAGTTGTGATATACTATTGATTTAGAAATCTAAGCAAGACTTTTAAAAATATTTAACTTTAATTTGTCCACTGTTCACTCAATCTGCTGTAAATGTTTGATGTAGTATTAACGTCTTTAGCCTTCTTTATATTTTAGTAAGGCCTGATCACGTAGCTGTTGCGATTTTTATGATGGATCAAAAATCCGCATAACTTTAAGCTTCATAGGAAGTTTTTTCAAATTTGTCTTACCAGCAATATTTTATCCACTGTAACTTTTCTAGCTGAGAGGTACTATAATCTACTTGGCGCCTATGTTCACCAATTAGAAGCTGGTAGAGCTTAAACTAGCCATTCCCATTAATAAACTGAAAGTTGTTCAATCTGTGAATTTGCTCATTTTCGAGACATTTTCTTTAGAGAGATATTTTTCTCTAGACTTAATGGGTATTAGCGCGATGTTAGCCCCTGGTGAAATTACGAAGTGACGAATTCAGAAGCGAGCTTTCAAAAAACTCCAACTTCTCCGCTATTTTTGAGAGTACAATGAAGAATGAAATGATGTAAACAGAAATGAATCTTATTCTAAGTTGGCGTTTTCTAATCAAAAATGCGAATAAGAAATCAATAGTTTTTGTGTTACTTTCATCATTACGTGTTCTTGAAAGTAACGAATATGCACATCACCAAGTCTTTGTGGAGCTCAAAGTTGCAAATTATCTCTGTTGTTTTCTTCAGGAAAACAAATGTGATAATACTTTTCTAATTAATCTTAAACAGACATAAGCTTTTAGGGTACCTATACTGTACAATTATCGGTAACAAATGCGCATGATGAAGTCATCAGCACCGGTAGTAAGACATTCGAATCTTATTCGAAGTGGATGGCGATAGTGGGCGACTCCTTCGCTTCTGGTGAGGGAAACCCAGATATTCAACGAAGAGGAGAAGCAAAAGCACAATGGCTAGATGGTGAGTTCAAAAAACGTTGCAATAACTATTCGAAAGCATTGGCTTCTGATTGTCCAAGATGCAAACGGCAAAAATGTGGGGTTTACTTTCTTTATCCATTTGCGACCCTTTAACGCATGAGATTTTTTGATCATACAAAATTATAAAACCACAGCCCACAGAGTTATCCCGTGAAGCATCTTTACCATTCTACCGTAATCGAGGCACCTGTCGGCTCCTTTGATGTGGCGCAGTTATGGCAATTAAGCTTTCCTTTCATCTTGCCGCCGCGTGCTTCTCCTCAGGGCACAGTTGAATGCTATCGAGGCTGTTTTCTCGGTCCAAGAGCTTTAAAATCCTTGATTGACGTTTCAGAGAGATGTCATCGCTCTGGGAAATCATTCGCCGCACAGGTGTTTGCAAAGATTCAGAAAATGAGAGAAAATATCTATCTTACTTACTTGGCTTGTGCTGGAGCCACTGTGGAGAATGGAATCTTGAAGGCAAAGGGAGAGCCAAGCCAGCTGAACGTACTGGAGAGTATCGCGACTATGAGGTAAGGTTAGGTGCTCAAAAGACACTGCTCACCTAAATCAATTCACCTT